ATGAACTACTAAAAGCAATAATCTTATTGAATCCATACTTAACAGCCACTCAAATTCTCTCCACCACTCATCTGTCACTTTGTCATACTGTGGTGGCTCTGGAAGCTATGCAACGGGTATTTTAAATACCAGCAAGGTCACCCACAATCAACAAGTTTCACCTGAGCTTCCAGACTAGGAAGGGAGACACAGACTACTTCCAAATATTTAGTCATTGAAAACCATATGAATAGCAGTGGGACACTGTCAGCACCAGAATATGGAATATTGAAACACGATGGAGAGGACCAGAAGATTGTCAGATATCATGCCAAAAGATGAGTCCCTCAGGTTGGAAGGCACTCAAATGTGACTAAGGAAGAGCTTCCTCCTCAAAGTGGAGTTGACTGTGATGACAAAAATTGGGTAAAGCCCTGGGGATCTACATTTGCTGATAGGGTACAACTCAAAATGAAGAGAAACAGCTTTAAGCATCTGTTAATAATTGGAACACGCAATGTATGAAGTATGAATCTAGGACAATTGGAAATTGTCAAATATGAAATGGAACATGTAAACATAGCTATCCTAGGTATTAGTGAGTTGAAATAGACTGGTATTGGCCATTTTGAATTTGACAATCTTAAGGTTTACTATGCCAGGAATGACAAATTGAAGGGAAATGACATCGCATTCACATCAAACAGAACATATCAAGATTCATCTTGAAATACAAACCTGTCTGTGATAGGATAATATCCATACACCAACAAAGAAGACCAGTTAATACCACTATTATTCAAATTTACACACCAACCACTAAAGCCAGTGAGGATGAAATTGAAGAATTCTACCAGTTTTTCAGTCTGAAATTGATCAAACATGAAATCAAGATGTTTTGATAATTACTGGTGGTTAGAATGCAAAGGTTGAAAACAAAGAGGAATGGTCAGTGGTTGGAAAATATGGCCTTGGTGATAGCAACAAAGCTGGCGATCACGTGATAGAATTTTGAAAGGCCAATGACTTCTTCCTTGCAAATGCCTTTTTAAAACAAGATAAAAGATGACTATACATGTGAACCTCACCACATGGAATACACAGAAATCAAATTGGCTACATCTGTGGAAAGAGATGGTGGAAAAGTTCCCTATTATCAGCCAAAACAAGGGCAGGGGCAGACTGTGGAACAGATAATGAGTTGCTCATAGACGAGTTCAGGCTGAACTGAAGAAAATTAAAACAAGTCCATGAGAATCAGAATATAACCTTGAACATATTCTACCTGATTTAGAAATCATCTGAAGAACACATTTGATGCATTACACAATAAAGACCAAAGACCAGAAGAGTTGTGGGATGACATCAACAACACCATACAGGAAGAAAGCAAAAGGTCCTTAAGAAGCCACAAAAGAAGGAAAAAACCAAAATGGATGTCAGAAGAGATTCTCAGTCTTGCTCTCTAGTGTAGAGATGCTAAAGCAAATGGAAGCAGTGAGGAGGTATGAGAGCTGAGCAGAAAACTACAAAGGTCAGCTCGAGTAGACAAAGTCAAATATTATAATGAAATGTGCGAAAACCTGGAGTTAGAAAACCAAAAGGGAAGAACACACTCAGCATTTCTCAAACTGTGGGAACTTCCAGTATTGAAGGATTAAACATTGAATGATGCCAAAAGCATCAAAAGAAGATGGAAGGAATACACTGAGTCACTGTACCAAAAAGAAATGGTCGATGTCCAACCATTTCAAGAGGTAGCATATGATCAAGAGCCAATGATCCTGAAGGCAGAAGTCCAAGGTGCATTGAAGGCATTGGCAAAGAACAATATACCAGGAATTCATGGAATACAAAAAGAAATCTTTCAACAAACTGATGTGGCACTGGAGGCACTCACTCATCTATGCCAAGAAATTTGGAAGAAAATTGCCTGGCCAACTGACTGGAATAGATCTGTGTTTGTGCCCATTCCAAAAAGAGTTGACTTAATGGAATACGGAAATCATTGGACGATATCATTGTTATCCCATGCGAGGAAAGATTTACTAAAGATAATACAAAAATGACTGCAACCATACATTGACAGAGAAATTCCAGAGGCTCAAGCCAGATTCAAAAGAGAAAGTAGAACAAGTGTTATCATTGCTGATGTCAGATGGATCTTGTTGAAAGCAGAGAATACCAGGAAGATGTTTATGCAAAGGCTTTCAATTGTGTGGATCATGAAAAACTATGGACAACATTGTGGAGAATGAGTATTCTGGAACACTTAATTTTACTCATGAAAAACTTGTACATAGACCAAGAGGCAGTTGTTCGAACTGTATTAAAAGTATGAAAGTATGTGCCTGCCAGGGTTGTATTCTTTCACCATACTTAGTCAATGTGTATGCTGAGCAAATTAGTTGAGAAGCTGGATTATATGAAGAAAAATGTGCCATCAGCATTGGAGGAAGACTCATCAACTGCCTGTGATATGCTGATGATACAAACTTGCTTGCTGAAAGCAAAGAGGATTTAAAATACTTTCTGACCACAGCCTTCAGTATGGGTTGTACCTCAATGTAAAGAAAGCAAAAATACTAACCATTGGACCAATAAGTAACATCATGATAATTAGAGAAAAGATTGCAGTTGTCAAAGACTTCATTTTTCTCAGATCAACTATAAACACTCATGGAAGCAGCAGTCAAGAAATCAAATGATGTATTTCATTAGGCAAATGTGCTGCACAAGACCTCTAAAGTGTTCAAGAGAAAAGATATCAGCATGAAGACTAAGGTGTGCCTGACCGAAGCCATGGTATTTTCAATAACCTCATATGCAAATGAAACTTGGACAGTGAATCAGGAAGACCATAAAATTTGATTTGATGCATTTGAAATATGGTGTTGGAGGTGAATATTAAAAGTATCATGGATGGTCAAAAGAACAAACCAATCTGTGTTGGAAGAAATACAGCCAGAATGTTCCCTGGAAACCAGGATGGCCAGACTTCGTCTCTTATACTTCTGACATATTGTCAGGAGGGACCAGTCACTGGAGAAGGGTATCATGTTTGGTAAAGTGGAGGGTCCGTGAAAAAGAGGAAGACTCCCATGAGATGGACTGGCACAGTGGCAGCAGTAATGGGTTCAGGCATAGTAATGATTGTGAGGTTGGCCCAGAATCGGGCAGTGTTTTGTTCTGTTGTGCATAGGGTCGCTATGAGTTGGTATTGACTTGATGGAACCTAACAACAACAACAAATTCTCTGATCTAAACAAACACTTTCACAAATGCAGTATTTGTTTTATCCTTAAAGCTGGGGCCAGGCAAATGCCATTAGTTCTTTTACAGATGAGGCTAATGGTTGGGGATGGTATGGTTAGAAGACATTTTTTAAAAAGCATCCAATTTAGCTATTCACTCAAGCTCATGCCTCCCCAAATTTTCCAAACAGAAAGTTCACATCTGCTAAGAATAGGGAAAATAGACAGGGTTTGGACTGACATTCTTTCCATCACTTAAGGTGCCAGAGCCGATGAAAGGCAGGCAGCAGAAGAAGATAGCACGAATCTCTACCTCTGTTATTGAATAAAAAGCCCCAGTGCTCACCATTGTTGTTGTTGTTGTTAAGTGCCGTCGAGTCGGTTCCGACTCATAGCGACCCTGTACAGGGTTTCCGAGGGTATAAATCTTTACGGGAGTAGAAAGCCTCATCTTTCTCCCGCGGAACGGCTGGTAGTTTCGAACTGCTGATCTTAAGGTCCGCAGCCCGATTCGTAACCACTACGCTACCAGAGCTCTTATGTACAAAATACCCTAGCAATAATTCTTAATTCTTACCAGAATTGGAAGGAAGCTTTTTAATGCTGACACTCCCCACATAATTTGGCTCTTTAATGCAAGCAGGAAGACACATATAAACACGGAAGAGAAATAAGTTTTGGATCAATAAGAATGACTCAGTGCAGTGCCTACTCTTTGTCACGTAACCATGGGGTTAGACATGTCTTCAACTTCTGGCTCCAGCAATGATAAATTCTTCAACCTTTGCCAAGTGGCTTAACCTCTGTGCACTGTGGTTTCCTGATGGACATGAGGACAATTATAGGACTTAAACTTCATTGGGTGGCTCTGTGATTTAAATGACTTGTTAGTCTTTTGAACGCAATGCCAGCTATTATTATCATTGATATTTACCACATCTTTCTTACTATGTCAGGCTACAATGCTATCTTCTGCTTTAGTTACATTCACTGTCTAAGAGATTTACCTAATACCAGCTTGTATAGTCAGTTCTCTTCCTTAAATGAAAGTAACTTCATCTTCATCAAGGAGCTGTGATGGACTACACTGGATTACTAACTGAAAGTTTGGTGATTCGAATCCATCAGTTTCTCCATGGGAGAAACCTGAGACAATCTACTTCTGTAAAGATTTACAGTCTTGGAAACCTTGTAGAGCTGTTCTATTTTGTCCTAAGGGGCTGTTGTGAGTCAAAATCAACCTGACAACAGTGGGTTTCATTTGGTTTTTCATCTTCATCAAAGCTCATGTCGTTTTTGGAGACTGGAGATCCATTTTCAAGAACTTTCTGGAGTCATGTACACAGTGGTAAAACAAAAGATGTTTCTGGATTAAAACCACTTCCATATCAACATCTGGCCTCATTCCACATTCTCCTTGTTACTGAAAACATGACAGCACAGCCAGTGGAATTTTTAATGAAAAAGCTTTGAGATGGAGCAAGTCCTGGTAGTGTTAGTGGAAAAAGCGTGAATTTATTAAATCAGCTTAGGCTAGACTTCTACTTATTAGTTATGCCATTGGGTATAAATGGGGGTAATAATATCTACCTCATAGAGTTGATAGTAGAATAAATAGTTAAGTGTTGAGTTAAATAATATGTGCTAGCACTTGGGAGGGATTCAGCAAATGCTAAGTCATTGCTTTCTTTTATATTACAATGAAACCCAGAGCATCTACAGATTTTCACTTTCCACCCAGGTTTGTATTATGAGCAATTTAGTTACCTTTTCGATACCTAAACCATGTTCATACATATATGCCAGGTTGAACATGGCTTGTGCACTGTGGTATTTGTCGGCTGCAATGCTGTAATGTGTGGCTGCTGTCTGATAGTCTTTCTTGGTCCCGTAGCCATAATAATGGTAATCGCCAATTTTTACTCTTGCGAATGCATTGCCTGATAGAAATATTAGAAAGAAGGATCATAATTCAAATGGTTCTTGTATAGTACCTAGTAATTTGAACTAATGATCTTTTTCAGTCCTTTTCAATATAGTTTTATATCTATCTCA